TAAACTTGTCCGTCGTCAATCCGTTCGGCATCGCTCCTTGGTCACCAAGACCCCATTGAAGCAAAGTGTCCTCCACTCCGGAGATGAAGCGCTCCCAGTTCGTCTCATTCGTGTAGTCGACGAAGCGACTGCTTGGATCTTCTTCCACGTCCGCCATCGTCATGCGAGAAATTTGCACTCGTGTTTTCAATGGAATTTCCGATCCGTTTCGAGCGAGCAAATATTTTTTGTGATGATATTCACTTAAGATGGGATACTATTAGTAGTACTATGAGAAATAATTTTTTAGGTTGTACACCTTACTGTTAGTTGTGCGAAAGGACGAAGCTGTATCAAATCCAACGTTCAGCATATCCCTGCTAGCATACTCTAACTACACTATTCGCGCAGGGCGAAGTGTATCGATACGCTGCGCGTATCGAAGGCACGGATTTTGGAAAGAAGATACATCGAAATCATGTTTCCCAATCATGTCAACACATATACTTGTTGAAATTTGGTAAATTCGAAATATATCAAATTCACAGCAACAACCATTTTTTCAAAATTGCAACGAAAATTTCAGAAGATTTCGCGCAACTTTTGCTACTTGTCGAAAATCTCTTCCAACAAGACATGGAGGTTGATGTTGCCAAGATGCCCCTACATGACGGAAGAATATGAATGCGGCAGTGGCCACGACATGGACGCCTTGATCAACGTACCGATTTATACGTCTTGACGGCATGGAGGAAGAGCACGATCGCTTGAAAAACGTTGGTCTTGCCAGGGAGGATCTCCCACACTGCCCCGTTCGCAATGACTTTGAAATTGGGAGGGGAAACTTGGCTGCAGAAGATGAGGAACATGCCGCGAATGCTTGCAGACTTTGTAGGGGGCGACGGCGCGTAGTGGGTCCGACGAAACGGACGATCTGTGTCGCACGTTGCAGGGAGCACGTCGTCGAGCATGGCACAAAACAAGTTCATGATCAATTCAGCGTCGGACGGGAGCATGGAATCCTTCGTCCACGGCTTTCCCTTCCACTTGCCACCACTATCCCAACGGTATGGCCCGAGGAAGCCATCTTCCCCGAGGGTTTGCAACCTTTGGATGGCATACGCAGAGCTGTATTCTTCCTTCACGTCGAAATACTTCATCAACTAACACGCAGAATCTGTCGATGAGGTCCCTCTGCATCCACGAAGCAACGCACCGTTTCATATTCCCGCAGCAAGTGCACATTTTGTCGTGCGCGCGATGCAAACGCGGGTTCTGTGCGCGCCATGTTGATCAGCGACTTCATCGACAGGTTGGAAATCGTCCGCGGGGTGGGCTCTCCGGGAACTTGAATCGACAACATTGGATGAACTGTCGACAGGTCGACGAGAATTTCTCGTCGAAGACCCAACTTGGACAGTTCGTCCATGTTTTGAGCCAAGGTGCCCAGCACATCTTGCAAGTGTTGCGCCAAGACATGACGCAACGTGTCACACAAGTTACCCATGTGATGCGACTTCATCCGGCACTCTGCCAGCACCTGAAAGGCAATTGTTAACCGTCATCGTACTCCACATCAAGTTTAGGACTGGGGTCGTACCTCATGCGCCTTGTCGACGTGGGGAGCACTCGACAGCGCGGACTCGAGCTCCTTTCGCACGGGAGGCTTCGCCGATGGCTTCATGACAGCATATGTGTGGGCATACAGGCCATTCGGGTTGATGGCCGACGACATTTCCATGCCAAAGCCAAAGTTGAGCTTCGCTGCTTCCCCAAAGTCGTCATCACCATTGGATGTCGCTTGAGGTTGATACGGTATCAGCTCCGCTTCGGTGGAAATGATAGGCGGGTTCGACAGCTTGCCGTCAACGCGGAGGGTCTCAATAGGCGACATTTCTCCAACCACCTCCGGCACGACAACTGTGCAAGCAAGGCAGCATGAACATCGATGTCGACAACGGGCACGTACACTTTCGCTGACGCAATCCATTGTCTGCTTGTGCTGCTGCACCACTCTCCGTTCGTTTGGTCGAAGAACTGTTTGCCGAGTCTGTAGGAGTCTAGATCATTGAGGGATGAGATGGTAGCCGTTGTTGACATCTCGATTGAATCCATACGCACCGAAAACAGTGACCACTGGTAGATCACCGCAATGTAAGCTGCCTTGACGGCAACTAGGCCACTGATCAAGGCAACCGAATAACCTAGAATACCTCCATTACAACAATGCGACTGGCGAGAATCGCACCAGGCAAAAAGACGAACACAAAAGAGAGAACGGTCGACGATATCGACGCAGTGAGATGGGGTAGCACGACCAGCAAAAGCACCATGAGAAGGAATCCCATTGCCCCTCGAGAAGACGAGTATTGATTCTGAAGACGCGCGGCATGGGCTTCGTTGTGACGCTTCGTCAGCACATTTAGCCGCGACGGGTTCATCGCCGCTTTGCCGCCTCGAAATTCACTGGTGTGATGTTTTGAACGAATGTTATCCGGATGTTTCGGATAAATGCACAACCTCATCGTACAGAGCACCATCGATCGCATCCATGCCACGCCATGGCCCTGAAGATGGCAGCATAAAGAGAAACGCAGGTGCGATGTGGGCTCATAGAGCAGCATTATTATAGCAAGGTGGGCATCTGCGTCACAAACGCAGTCGACTTTGTGATGGCGTCGTCTTTCAGGCACACGCCGGGCGGTAGGCCCACCCTCGACGTCGGGTTGGCCGACAATCGCTTGTCTGCTTCGTTCTGCAGGACATGCGTCATAGCTGTGCTACGTCTTTTATTCATCGGGGCAGCCCGTACCTGATTTTTCTTTTTGAGTTTCGTCGTGAGTTCCTCGTCTGAGATCCCGCGCTCGGCGGCATTTTTGCGCTTCTCCGCCAGCTACGGCGACGTTGCATGGGTCTTCTCCACTTGTCGCGACAACACAGATCGTACCTCTTTTTTTCGCATGATCTCGGCAAAGTGGCGATTGCTGCTCATCTTGAGGATGTCCCGCGATGGCACCAACACGTCCATGACCCCATCCATGGCTTCTCTGTCGTCTTCGACGAGTCCAGCAGACGACGACGTATCGGACCGTGCGCTGTCTGGAGTTTTGGACGGCGGCATGGCGACCACCCTCGGCTGGACACGGATGTTGTTCCGATGGACGACTGGGTCACTGTTGCCTGTGGGGGTCCACACGGCGTGCTTGACGTCGTCGTTCAAGTCCCCTCGGGCGTGTTCATCAAATCCGTCGTCCGCATCGCCGCCATAGCCATTGAATCCACCGACTGATCCATTTTGCTGGCCCACGAGCTCGAGCACTTTGGAAAACTTGATCTCTGCCACTGCCAACAGGTCGTTGGCCGAATCCTTGCCCGTCAAGGCCGCCAGCGCATCGTCGTTGATCTCTAGCACTTCCTGCACATGTCGGCGACATACGGTGTAAGATGGTGCTGGTTCCCTCTCATACGCGATGACGCAACGTACGTCGAATGGAAAAAGGCGCTGGACAAGGCTGCTCGCGCCCTGCCGGACGGCCGCCAAGACGCCGTCGAGGCAGTCGTACGCAGCTTTGTTGCCTTTGAGATGGCCTTTGGCCACTAAGATTTCGTTTTCTAGCGCCGTGTACACATCTCTACATCATGGATTCTGTCAGAGTCATTTGCAATGCGGATGCATTCGCACCGGTTCAACTCAATGCCACCAATACCAGACGCTTTTAGATCGTTCAACGACTTGAGCGAGCTCTCTTTGGATGCCTTGGCAGCCGCCAACCGCGCCTCCGCCCGGGCCTTTTCTTTTTCCAGCGATGAATTGCTGCTGTTTTGAGCAGCAAATTTGTCGACAACGTCTTGGAGGCTGCTCGCGCCAGTGACCTGCTTCAGCTGCACAAACACCTGGTCGTGATCTGCTGCCCGCTGGGAAATCTCCATATTCGCTGCACTCAGGTCGCTCCCTGCCTTGCGTTTGCTGTCTATTTCTCGTAGGAGTTTCCGCTCTTCGTCGAAGGACAAGTCGCCGCGCAGCTACAACCCGCCGAAATATGGACCGCATGACGGTCGTGCACGCGACCGACAGGGAGATCGAGGGTACCTCGGCGGCGAGCTCGGACCGCTGCTTGATGCGCTTAAGCCGCCACTGCTCCATGCGCTCTGCGTTTTTGGCTTTGATCGTATTTTCAGACAGCTCGCGGCCTCGTGTCTTGCGGTCGAGGGCAACTTGTTGCTGCAAGCTGCGGTGGATGTCGATGAGTGGTTACATGTGCACAGCCAAACGGGTACATTTGCGCACGTACTCTTGCAGCATCTGAATCGTACGGCTCTTGCCAGCCTCGAGTTGCCGGCACAAAACACGCACGTCTTCTGCTTCCCGAACACTAGCTTCGACTGCCACCGACATGGCAGCAATGTGCGAGTCGAACTTGACTTGATTCGACTGGAGGCGCCGAATCATGTGCTCCAGCTGCCTTCGCGTGTGAATCTAGAGTTCAAATCGGGTGATCCGCCGCTCGGAGCATCTGCACGCACCTTCTCTTCCATAGACAGCATGCACTCTTCGATTTCCGCATTGAGGCGCTGAATCTCCTTGGCCCCGGACGACTCTTGATTGTGGATCTTGTCGAGGGTGTCCGTCTCGAGTTGCATCGTTTTGTACTCGTCGAGCAAATGCTGGAGCTCCTTCTCCTTTGTTTCGGCGATTCGCCTGCGTTCGTTGTACTTGCGTGCATTAAAGTTGACGCCGTCTTCCAAGATGGACACGTCTTTGTTGGTTGCGTTCGGGTCGGACTCGGGTACTTCCAACGTCGAGGGGCCTGGTTCCCGCTGCGGTAGCACGATCGGCATGTTCACGCGGCGCACGGCTTCCGCCAAGTCCTACCCGCATGGCGATCATGCACGCGGCGTAGACAACGCGCACCTTTTTTTGAAAGATGCGCTTGGACTTTTGTGTAATGTCAAACGCCGAGAGATCCAACGGCAGCAGCCTGCAACGACTTAGAGACGAGGACGGGAATACGCTGTACCGCCGAGTTGAGTGGCCTTTCTTCTTGTGTCGGTCATTCGTGCTCTTGGATGGTGTGGACGACCGCTACCAGTTCGCCAGTTGCATGAGAGAGATCCGACGAGGCGAGTATACCCCAGGTTGCGACGCCTCCTTCGCGTTTCCCGGACTGCTTCCCACATCCGCTAGGTTCGTAAAGCCCACGGACGTCGCCGCCATGGCCCTGTCCAGTGCCCCTTGTCAGGGCGAAAGTGAAACAGCTTCGTGAAACCGTCCGCGGTGCCTGTGACAGTTTCACTGTCACCGTGCTCGAACTTGCGCGGGAATGCACGCAGACATGGACGATGCACGAAAGGATAGTGGGCAATGCCTTCAAGCGGCGTTGCCAAGCGCTATCACGATATCGCACGCGCGCTCGGTCCCTGCTTCCGTCATACAGTGTGACCAGGCAAATTGGCGGCCTGGTCACACTGGAACGTCGCCATACACGGGTGGCGACTGGTTTGTGCCACATTGAAGCAAGACATTTCAAATACGCGAGCTCCAAGTAAACGGCGTGCCGACTGTTTTATCTTATCCCTGACTGCCCACG